TGTAGATATAGAAAGGCTGGAAAATGCAATTTCTCATTTACAAGAATCCCTGTCCTCCCTAGCAGAAGTGGTATCGCAAAATCGACGGGGATTAGACCTGATCTTCCTGCAACGGGAGGAACGCTGTTTTTATGTTGATCATTCAGGGGTAGTCAAAGATACTATGGCTAAGGTAAGAGAAGGATTAGCTAAGAGAAAAAGAGAGTGAGAGGCTCAACAGGGATGGTTTGAGTCTTGGTTCAATGCATCTCCCTGGCTGACCACCTTAGTGTCCACCTTGATAGGCCCCCTCCTCATTTTGATCCTACTCTTAACCCTCGGACCCTGTATCTTAAACAGGTTAGTACAGTTCATGAAGGACCGACTAGGAACAATTCAAATAATGGTCATGAGATCACAATACCAGCCCCTAAGCCGGGATGCCATTGAACTCCAGGAAGCCCCATGATTGGGGCCTCCAAGTTACTGCTCTTTTCGCTTCTGCAAATCGCTTGGCTTGAGGGAACCAGAGGGACAAACTGCACCATCTCCATTTTGACTGCTGATTCCTCCATTTTCATGCTGTCTCATGGTCATAGACTAGGCAAGCCTGGGCACGTCCAGCCCCCCCCCCCCAGGTTTGAGGCCTTATAAGGAATAAACAGGGTCCTCTAGCCCTGAAGATAACAGTCAGCACATTCCACAGCCCTGAGGGCAGCACCCACCAATGAGAGGCCTCCAAGACTGTAACCAATCAATTCAAAAGTATGTTGGTGCATACGGGCTCTTTGGACCAATCAAAATATAACTCTGTCATTCCCCTCCTCCCTTTGTCTGAAACCTATGAAAAGCTCCCTCCCCCTGCAATTGGGGTGCTCAGAGGAGCCTACCACGTTAGTTTGGTCTGAGAGTCTGAGCTTAGGCCTGAATAAAGACTCTTTGTTCTTGCATGCTGTCTGGACTCCATGGTAATTCTTGGGGATCTGTTCTCTGGGCACAAGACACTTTAGCCAGTACCTTCGGAAAATTGATACTGGAGTTTTGGGACAAGTCCTTGGCTCTGAATCCTACTGGACCTGAGCATTGGTTAAGATTTCTTTGGGACAGGCCTTGTTAAAAAGACACCGGTCTCCAGGGAGGGTGTTGTAGGTGGGCCCCTTTCCCTATTTGCTACTTTCCTCTCCTTCAGGATGACATGTAATTTAGGTTTATCTGGCACATCTTGATAGAGTATCAATAAGCTCCATAAATTAACTGGTCCAGACTATGAAAATGTCTAGTCTATCTGTTGGATGACCCATTTTTCCAGCCTCACTGGTCAATTACCTGGTGATAGAACCACTCCCAGGAAGGCAGGTTATGCTAAATAGATGGGTGGAATACCTGGTGTGTTAATTAAGTAGTGAATATTTCAGCCTGGAACTAGCTCAGGTCCCCGCAGAACTTCCAGACCAGCCACAGCCCTGTAGGCCTCTGTGAGTCTGTCCGCACGCTTCAGGAACGCCTAATTTCTCCTTCACTTTTTCTCTAAAGCTTCCTTCTCCCAGCCATGTGGCTGCAAGTCAGCCACGTGTCTGACCTCTATGCAGGCTCTAAACCTGCATGGCTTTCATGGCTTTCTTTCCTTCTTCCCACTATTCACCTCCTCAGGGCAGTTGCCAAGATTACTAGCTCGCCTGCCCCGAGGATTTTTCTTTTAAGATTCTAATAAAATTGTAAAAGCTTCCATTTGGGTCCATTCCTAAATTCTTTTATGAATGAGACTAAGAATCCTCTAGGGGACTCTCTTTCTTCCGGTTTCAATCTGATGACAAGTAGAGCTTCTGAAGGCATTGAGTGAAACACAGCCCATTGAGCTACCAGTGTTCAGCCAAATCTAAGGGGATGAAACGTTGAGCAAAACACTGTCTCAGCCCAGTAGGAGTCATTAGAGTAGGAGTCATCAGAGCCTGGATTCCTGAAGCCCTAACAAGCTAGGTTCAGCCACCAATCCCCTCAGTAGACCGATTAGAGATGGATTCCATGTGGCCACATTGGGAAGAGGAACAAAGAGGTCTTGTGATGTCCTTACCGCCAAATTCATCTTTGGGGTCTTGACAGAAAGTTTAGGTTTAAATAGAGGGTAAGAGGTATGCTTAGTTAAGTAGTTGTGCTGGATAGCTTTAGTTGTCAACTTGACACACCTGGGAGGAGGGAGCCTCAATTGGTGAACTGCTTCCATTGTGGCCATGTCTATGTACCATCTTCTTGATTGTTGAGTGATGTGGGAGGGCCCAGCCCACTGCAGGTGGTGCCACGCCGGGGCAGGTGGGCCTGTGTTGTGTGAGAAAGCAGGTTGAGCGGGGCCAGGGGATCAAGCCAGTAAGCAGTGTTCTTCCATGGCCTATGCTCCAGCTTCTGCCTCCAGGTTCCTGCCCTGGGTTCCTATCTTGGGCTCCCTCAGTGATGAACTGTGACACAGGAGATGTAAGCTAAATAAACCCTTTCCTCCCCAGGTTGGTATTGGTCAGAGTGTTTTGTCACAGCATTTGAAGGCAAACTAGAACAGTAGTCTGGTCAAGGTGTGGTCCTGCCCACAAATGACGCATTACTGTCACCAGTCTCTTCAGCAAAGTAGTCTGACAAGTTGTCAGAACTGTGTGAGACCTCTTTCCTGGAGAGGAATGTCCCCTCTGCCTGGCCCCAGGGCCCCAATCTTCTATGGGATTCCTGGGGAAAATTCCATTTCTTTGTGAATATTGTTTCAATAGTCTGACAGCCAAAGGGAGTGAGACAAAGGTCCTTCTGTAGGATATCTTCCCTCTTGCTAGAATGCTCAAGTCACAACCCTAGGCTATGTGGCCCAAGGCGAGCAGGGAGGCAAATCTCCTTGGGTGCTTCAGAACGTGTCCTCTCTTAGCTTCCATAGCTAGCTTGAAAGACGCCTCTACCCCACTCGGATGAAGCGAGTAAATCCCATACCAGGAAGCACTGACAGAGGACAGGCAATCTACAAGGCAAACGGAGGGCTGGGCGGGGCCAGATGGCGAGGGGCAGGTCCTGGTGCTGCGACAGGGGCGGGGCCAGCGGGCTAAGCGGCCAAAGTGCGCGTGCGCATCGCCGGGAGGGGGTGGAGCTTGACTGCCGGCGCCCGCTGTAAACAGACAATATGGCGGCTGCGGCTCCGGGCGCTCTGGGCGCCCTGAGAGTGGGTCGCGCTCGCCTGTTGGCCTCGTGCTGTACGCGGCTTGGCCCATCCGCCTGGGTCAGGGGTCCCGCCCCGAGGAGGGGTTACAGCTCTGAGGTGAAGACGGACGACGAGCTGCGCGTGCGGCACCTAGAGGAGGAGAACCGAGGTGAGCGGCAGACGGCGAGGCCGTGGAGGTCGGCCCCGGCTTGCAAGGCCCTGTGCCAGCACCTGCCCCGGCTTCAACCCCTCCGGAGAGTGGTCGGCGGGTACGGTGGCCCGCCGGGGTCAGGGTGCACAGAGATGCCACTCACGCCTCGGCTCCCTGCAGCCAAGGTCAACGTTGGGCGTTTGATACTCCCCCGCAGGGTTGCTTCTTGCTGTGTAATAGCTCCCTGTCATCTCATTGCGAGAGTTATAGAGGCTGCAGCGAGAATGCCTTTTATCATTCAAAGGAATTTTAAATTTGAAGTCAGTCCCCACCCGCCCCCGCTTTTGTTCATTTTATTCTAGAGAGTTAGTTTTGGAGGACTGTTGCTAAGAATTTTGAGTAGTTCTTGCCTTGCTGAGCTCTGTAGGGTAAATAATGAGAATATTCATCTTGCCCTTGGGCTCTCTGTTCTGGGAGGAGACTGATAAGTTAGTAGTGCCTTATGGAGGGTGGAAGGCTATGAAAGGTTAGATGCTCTGGAACGAGGAAGTTTGTTTCTTTCAGTTGCAGTGTTGGGAGACCTAAAGGGTCGTGAAGGGCAAATAGGGACTGGGACAGAGGACCACTCAGCATTTTGATACCCATTTATTAGGCACCTTAAGTAGAAGTGGAAAACAAGTTAAGTGGTGAACGCTGCCATTAAGAAGCTCCCTACCTGGGGCTGGTAAAATGACTCAGTGGTTAAGAGCGTTGGCTGCTCCCGCAGAGGGCCCAGGTTCGGTTTATAGCACCCCACATGCCGGCTAACAAACGTCCATAACCCCAATTCCAGGGGACCCAGTGCCGCCTTCTGACTTCCATGGGCATTGCACGCATGTGGTGCACTTACTTACATGCAGGTAAAAGCACATACACATAAAATAACAATATATTGGGGGGAAAAAAGCTCTCTGCCTGCTGGAAGGCCAGGTGATACTAACATTAAAGTCTTGTTGAGAAGTCTGTGATACCTGCAGGGTTTAGCTTTTGCTGTGAAACTCAGGCTGCCCTGGACCTTGAAATTCTTCTGTGCTTCAGAATAGTGGGATCATACGGTTGAGCCACCATGCCCCACTCCAAGACATTCTTGTATAGGTACTCAGAGTTCTGGGGCAAATTTCTCCATGCTTCAGCTGTGTAATATAGCAAGCAAAATAATAGGAACTTTGTAAGATTGCTGTGAAGATTGGATGAGATTGTTACTGTACATTGTCTATTGAGTGGCTAGCCTGTGATAGATAGATAGATGCTCAGGAATATGAAGAGTGATTTATTTCTTGTTTATTCAAGCCATCTGAGACAATGGAATGGTCCAAGTGATAGAAATGGAACATGTGTATTTGGGAAATATCATAAGACACATGGCTGGTCTGGGATGGCGGGGAGAGTAGTAGGAAGCTCACCTGGAAGCTTAGAATGGCCTGGAATCATTCAAGCCTTGAATATCAGTCTTTTGGGTAAGCTTAGTAGTGCTAGTGTTTTAGTTCCGTTAGACACACCAATGGGGTGGTAGGTAGTTTTTTGAGACAGGGTCTCCCTGTAGCCCCAGCTGGCCTGGCTATGTAGACCAGGCTGACCTCAATATCACAAGACCCTGCCTGCCTCTGTCTCTGCCTCTGGAGTGCTGGGATTTAAGGCGTGTGTCAGTTGTGAAGGGTTGGGAGTACAGCTAGTTATATGAATCGTAGTCTGCATAACACATCTGGGAAGACTTTAAGGTCGGATTAGACTACAGTAGAAGATATTATGACATAGAAAATGAGTCAGTGAATTCAGATGTTCACTTGATCTAAAGTGTAAGCATCGGCCATTAGGACGTCCTGCCTACCTAAGAGGACTGACCAAGCAAGGATGACAAAAGCAGTGCAGGCTTGGCTAAGGTTACATATGCTTTTCTTTGCTTTATCATTGAGCTTGCTGTAAGGAGGGCAGAGGAGGCTGTGAGGTCCAGGATACTGCTGCTGAGGAGTCTCTGAAAGGGCTGGGATGCTGCTTCAAGAAGGGCACTGAAGTGGATTGTTTATTAGAAGAGTTATTAGCCCCATGGACAGAGAGACAAATAGACAGTGTGGCAGGGTCTCTGAGGAGAGTTCAGGCCCTAACACCAGTGACAGACAACATGGCAAGGCCTCTGAAGAGAGAAATCCGGGTCCACAAGGCAGAGATTGAGGTCTCTTCCCTGATGGATATGGTTTCACAGCACAAACCTGTAGCTAGGCTCTCTGATTCCCAGGCAAGAGGCAGGGAAAAGGGTGGGGAGCTGGATATGTGGCTCCCAATATCCCATTTGATATAAACTTCCTTCCCCAGATGAGAAGCCCTGGCACCTGGGAGCCTGATAGCTAGAGATGCACAGACAGTGAGTGTCTCAGTAGGTGCCTGTGGGTATCTGTGAGAGGGGAAGGGCCGCTGCAGGGTTGTGGCCTGAGCAGCAGCTGGATTCTAACACTGTGCTCTTACAGTCTCCTGGTGCCTTTGTGAGAGAGACAAGTCCATAATTTGATGCGTTTAGTCTTTAAGGACTATGTGAATTCTCCTAGGCCAGTGAAGCACCAAGCTTCACTTGGAATGTTTAGGTGGATGGGGATAATAGGTGCAGAACACCTCAGGCTTGCAGCTGTTGTCAGGGTTCTGTGTTTGTAATTTGCAGTGTGTGTGGGGGTCCTCAGAGAACTCCGGTGGTTCTTACATTATTGTTCATCCTACTCAGTTTTAGAATGGCAGTCCTTGTGTTTGACTTGTAGCACCGTCTCTGGATCTTTTTCACAGGTTTCCTGGCCTGTAATCATACTCCACCCCAGCTTATTCTTCCTATCGGGATGTGTGTGAATCCTTTTTTGCTCAGTTAAAATCCTTTGCTTGCCAACCTTTACCATCTGGCCTTTGCAGCTCTGTCCTGCTTCAGTTCTTTATGCCTAGGCTTCCTGGAGTGACCCCTCCCCTCTACAAACTTTACTTCCTGCAGTGTGATAAGCTTGGACTGTAATGTGACCCATTTTAAGGATATCTCTGTGAACTTTTGGGTACAGTTTCTGGCAGTTAGAGCAAATAAGCAAATGAACAGTGTGGAGTCATTCTAGGTGCTACTCTTCTTGACCCATCACATCTAGATTCAAAGGTCTACATGAGAGATTTCTTTGAGCTCTTCCCAGGTCTTTACTTAGGCCAGCTTTGTCCAAGCCTGGATGATGGACTACTTCAGAGGTCTGCTAGTGTTTCTTCACGATCTAAAAGGTAGATTTCTGTATATTTCGTGGCTAATTATCTCAATAGAAATACAGCTGATTTTCAGCTCTAGCTAACCAGCATCAGTTGTCTCAGTAAGGCATAAAAGATTTCACTTCCAAAAATTCTAGTTTGACACAAACAGCCCTGATAGTCTTTGCTTCTCTTAAAAAGTCACAAGCCAGGCCTCTGTCATCCAAATTACTCCTCAGCCTAACTGTTCTGAGCTCCATAAGAAGCTCACTGAGCTCTGAGCACTCAATGCCTTTTCTAGCACAAAATTGTAAACACTTCCACAATCCTCCCAGACACACACAGTCAGGTCCATCACAGCAATCACCCACTTTTCTTTTCTTTTTTTTTTTTTTTTTTTGGTCTTTGTTTGAGATAGGGTCTCCCTGTAGCCCCAGCTGGCCTGGAACTCACCATGTAGACCAGGCTGGCCTGGAACTCACAGAGATCCGCCTGCCTCTGAACTCCCAAGTGCTGGGATTAAAGGTGTGTGCCACTATGCCCTGCTCCAATTTCTGTTCTTATCTGCTTTTAATTGCTGTGACAAAAACACTGACCCAAAACAACCTGTGGAGGTAAGGGTTTATTTGGCATATAAGCACAGTCCATCATCAAGGGAAGCCGAGGCAGGAATCTGGAGCACAGACCACGGAGGAGTGCTGCTTACCAGCTTATTCCCCTGACCCCTGCTCAGCCTGCTTTCTTATATAATACAGGCCCCCCTGCCATGGGGTACACTGCCCACAGTGGACTGGGCCCTCCCTCTTCATTCAATAATCAAGAAAATGCCCCACAGACATTACCACAGGCCAATTAATGGAGAAAATTCCTCAACTGAGGTTCCTTCTAACCAGGTGTGTCAAGTTGACAACTGAAGCTATCCAGCACAACCATAATGTGCAATGTTCAGACGTACAGTTGCTTTAGTATTTTCAGTTATACTGTATCTGTCAACACAACCCGATTTCAGAACATTTTTAAAAATTTATTTTCATTAAAGATTTTTGAAGTGTGTGTGTGTGTGTGTGTGTGTGTGTGTGTGTGTGTGTGTGTGTGTGTATACACATACATGTATGTGCTTGTGCATGCAGGTACCCTTGGAAATGAGAAGAGGGAGTTGGATGTCCTGGAACTGGAGTTATAGGTAGTTGTGAGCCTCCCTGACATGGGTGCTGGGAACCAAACTCTAGTCCTCTATAAGAGTAGCAAGTACTACTGAGCCGTCTCTCCAGCCCCAATTTTAGAGCTTTTAAAAATCAAACCCAAAGTAAACCCTGTAGTTTTTGACAGGGACACCCCGTTATACCTCTTCCTGAGAAATGTTTATCTACTTTCTCTCTCAGTAAGTTTGTTGGCACTGACCAGTTCATTCCCACTCATTCTTTTTGATGGTATTGTGGATGGAATTGTTTTAATTTCATTTTCAGATTATTCATTGATGATGTATGCAAAGTGATCTGGTTTTTGTATGGGGACTTTGTATTGTGTACTTCCTGAGTTTTTAAATTTCCTGTGTATATGGTGTGTCATTTGCAAATAAAGTGATTTTGCTTCCTTTTCAATCTGATTGTCTTCTTTTTTTTTTTAATTCACATGGCTGGAGCCTCCATGAAGGAGTAGACTACCAACATCTAGAGCAAACATCCCACTGCTTTTCTGGCTCCTCTCAGTAGTGCTTGCATGTTTGGCCCTGATCAGTTAAGGAAGCTTCCTTCAGTTTGTAGAGTGAAAGTTTCTGTCAC